GTGGGAAGGCCAGCTCTGTACTGGAGCAGACGCCCACCTGGCTGCAGCTCCCATATGCAGGCCCAGAGAGACTGGCCTGGGTTGGGTGGAAGCAGGCACCCTCCTCTCCTTAGCTGTGCTGCAAGATGAGCAGCAGAATACAGGACACTTTGCCATGTGAAGTCACTTAGATGGGGATAAGTATTGTGGGGAACACCCTGAGGTGAAAGGAAGCAGGTGTGCCTTGGTGTGCAGCTCCAGCAAGAGCCAGCAGGGACCCTGGTTGCGATAGGGCACTCACTACCTGTAAGAAAATTGTAAGTTACTTTTGCTGCTAGGAACACCCCTTTCCTTGTGAATAGTGGAGTCCCAGTCGTACCCTTCCCTGTAGAGCTGGCACTTAGCTAGGGTTATGCAAAAAACCACCCCCCCCCCCAGCCCCTCCCTATACACCCAGGTGCTCCCGTTGAGGTAAACGCTCTGCAGGAGTGACATGGTCTGCAAAAGTGCGTGTCGGTAACCTCACGCACAAGCTCTTCAGGCTTCCTCTCTGCAGCTGAGTGCCCGGCCTTCTCCCTCCCCGCCTCCATCTTGTGGCCCCAACTGCTGGAGGGCTCTATTCTGCTTATTCTTTGGGGCTCTGGATATTTGGGGTGAGTTCTGGGGCCACTCACGTCTATGCATGGATGCAACAGAGCAACACAAGTACGTGCTTTCTGATAACTATTCTCCAAGCCTAGATTCTAAAACATTTTAAAAATTATGCCTTATGTTGGGATTCCTGTGTCTACCACTGAAATGCAGCCACCTCTAAGGTGGAATATAGCTGCTGTCTAACAGAGGAGAACAATGCTGCGTGACCATGTAAGACAGAAAGAAGAAACAAAAGGATGATGATGGGTTTTTATTTCTTTTCATGTGGACATAGCGTAAGTCCCCAAGCTGGAATCTGGCCAGGGTGCTGTCTGCAATATCCCAACGCTGGTGAAAAGCGCTGGGGATCTTCAGTGACAGCAAATGATGATTAAGCTCAATTTTTGGATGACACTGTAATGATGGCATCTGCAGCCGCACAGGGTACCTTGGGGCCAGTGTACTGGTGCAGGCTTAGAGCAGCGGTTCCCAACTGCTGGTCTGCAGGCCGCTTCCAGGCTGCGATCCTGCTGGCTGCCAGGCTGCAGCGACTGCCAGAACTCAAGCCGGCTGTTCACAGCGTTTCAGCCCCGGCAGCCATGGTGGCTGAGGAACGTCAGGAAGAGGTGGAGCAAGAGGTGCCTTTCTCCTCCTCTGCACTTGGGGAAGGCGGGGTGTGAAGGAGACGGGAGCCGCCAACAGCCATTCTCCCTGCCCGCGCAGCCCCTTTTGCCAGCGGTGGCACTAGGACCGAGGTGGCAGCAAGAAGAGGCACTTCCCTCCCTTCTTCTACTTTTGCCAGCGGTGGCACTGAGGTGGCATCAGGAGGAGACGGAGGAGGCACCCCCCTCCTCAGTAATAGCGGCCTGTAGGGGTGCAAGACGTGCTTGGGGAGAGGGGGCGCGAAGGTGGAGGGAGCGCGCGTGCACCACTCCTCTTTTCTGTGCTGCAGTAACAGCCTCGCTCCCTAGGGGGGCAGCCTTGCTCTGGAGAGTTTTGGGGTGGGGGCAATGGGGTGTTGGGTGAGGGTGTGGTGGAGTCACGGGGCAAGAAGGTGTTGGCATGGGCTATAGGAGTCAGAGGTTAAAGGGTCAAAGGGTGTTAGGCACTGGGGAGCAAGGGACTGGGTTGGGGATAAGTGGTCAGGTAGCACTGTATTTGCATATACATTATTTGCATAATGAGTTTGCAAACATGTAACTATAATGTTACTGGTCCACCAAAGGTTTGTGAATGAGTTTGCCAGTCTCTGACATAAAAAAAGGTAGGGAACCACTGGCTTAGAGGAAAAGTGCCACCTACCAAATAGCCACCACTCCTTCTGTAGCACTCAAGTACTTGCAGATCAGGCCTGACCCTCAAGATGGATTAAAAAAAATATTTTTTATTTAAAAAAAATCAGATTTTTTTAAAAAACTTAAATTGGATTTTAATTTTTTTAAATCATCAATAAAATACTAAATTTCTCACTTAAAAATGTTACAATTAAATCTCATCACAAACATGCTACACCTACACTTAGTCTCATAAAAATGAATTAATGGCTCTAGTTCGTCCAGCCTAACTACTAGCTCTTGCTTTTTGAAAGTTCTGGGCTTTCAATTTCTGTTCCTCAGCAGACTAAAAAGTAATGTGTGCAAAGAGACACAGGCTGGCTAGGATTGTTTTTGTTCTGTGCTTATGTGGTAGTGGACTTGGGCCAAGCACAGCAGAAGAGTGAGTAAAAGAATGTCTTAAGATACACAGAATATATAGGGAAGGATGAAGGCAGCATAGAAAGGAACAGTGGAGTGGACTGGAAAGAAAAAGGCAAGACCTTATTCAGCACTCACATAGCTCCCTCTAGTTCCCTACATTTTTGCCACAGAAAAACTGTCCTGGCTTCTGAGTGTAAAAGAGAGACTCTGGGAATATTTTGAAGACATTTGTTCCCTGGGTAAAAAAGGCAAAGGTGTCAAATGTAACCAATGGCAAGAAGAAGATGCAGGTCTTAGTTGCAAGATTGAAAAATTATAAGAAATCTGCTTATTGGGAGAAAATGATTTAGCTGAAGATGTGGATAATGGCTGAATGGATCAACTAGTTAGAAATGTAAATAATTCTCTTCACAATGCATCACTCTTCAAGACCCTCTCCATGCCTTTTAATATAAGTGTGATTTGACAAGTAAATTCCCAAGCTGTTGGCTATATTGGGTGTTGCTAGAAAAAAAAGTTGAGTTTAGCGCTTGTTTAATTAGCTCGCCAGGTTTAGAATCTGTTGCTCAGGTAAGTGTACAACACAGAAAGCTGCAGCTAGAGATGTCTAGAGTTGCCAGTTGCCACTGAGTGTCATCCCTTATTTTGGAACATTGTGGCCACAGATCATAATGGTGATGTTATAAATGCTGTTCCCTGTTTTACTTCAGCCTAATTCAGCTTTTCCAAGGGGACCCCGTCCTATAGTTGTGAGTTCAATGGGGCTTACTGCAAAATTAAGTGCACCCTAAGCACAGTCTGTTTTAGCTTTTTGGTAACTTGATTTAGATCAATGATATTTTTGGTGATTTAAATCATTCCACCCTGTTTAAAGGGGACATCTGAAGCCAAGATTATGCTCTGTCTTGCTGCTGTCCCTATGAAGACTCAGCTAATACTGGTTTTCTGTCTCTCACATAACTTGCTGTAGTAATAGAAGGAAGTGGGTCTGGCCCACGAAAGCGCATCATCTAATAAACCATCTTGTTAGTCTTTAAAGTGCTACATAGTCCTGTATATAACTTGCTGTGGAACTGAACTTAGAAGTTCAGGGTTCTCAAGCCTTCAAGGTGACTAAGGCCAGATTTTCCAGATAAGCCAGGTGCCAGTTATCTCCGAATTTCAAGTCATGATTATGTGACTGGATGTCCTAACAGTACATCGAGATGTGCACAGTGACCTGCAGCTTCTGTACACGCTTGGACAATCTGGCCCCGTTTTTTGTTACAGCTGACTGACCCCCCTACCAGCAGGGCAGACATGCACTCAGCATGTGACTTTCAACTTTGCTTCCCTTCCGTTCTGGGAACCCGGGAGCTGCTCCAGGGATGCTTAAGAGAGATGCAGCTGGCTTGGGGTGGTTGGCCAGTAAATTGATAAGTTTGGGGTGTAAGAATAACAGTAATCCAAAGACTTCAAAAGGGTAGCCAAGTTAGTCTGGAACAGGAAAAACTTAAAACATTGTAAGGGTATCAAAGAGGGTATAAGTGCCCTAAAGCAGCTTCTTGTGTACTAACAAAATGTGACTTTCACGGACTTCCCCCACCCCATAGATCTGTTGCATGGTGGGGCGAGGATGCTCCAGGGTAACCCGCCTGCCATATCCTGGTGGGGTGGCAGACTCAGGCCGGGGGAGGACCCGAATCAGCCCTGAGCCCAGAATATTCCCCATAGAGAGCATGGGAGGTTTAGACTTGACATTTGCATTCGAACTGCTGCCAGTCGCCCAGGCTCTGTCTCTTAAAAATCAGGTTTAATACCAGCCCCCCCCCCTCCCCTCCGGTGCATGTGATTATATATTTGTCCACAATCCCTCAAAGCAGGGGCCGGGGCTGGCAGATAGGAGGGCGAGAGCAGCAGTGCTCAGTCTCCAGGGAAACCAGGAAGCCATGTATCTCTTCACTTCTTGCAAAGTAGATAAGACTGTTGTGCCTGATCCCAGGAAACCTGCAGATTCAACAAAAGCTTTGTTGCCTGTGATTTTGAAATTGATTGACCCCTCCCCCATGCAAACAGAAAATGTAGAGGAACCCAACAGGCCTACTCTATAGGAGAGTGTATGCACAGGCCCCTCCCCCCATCTATCATGGGGCCTGATCCTGAGTGATGCTGAGCACCTGTAGCTCCCAGGAGCTTTGGTGGGAGCGGGTACATTACTGGCCTGAGACCAGCCAAAGCAAAGTGCTGCCATGGTCTGTGATTGCGGAGTTGTGTGTGCTGGAATGGGGAATAGCAAAAGAGCTGGTGCTAGGGAAAGCGCCTGCCTTGCTTAAAAATAAGCTGGGTTACTTTTAAAGGGGGAGAGGGCAGTTCGGGTTGGGCCTTGCGTTGGCTGGTTACTTACAAAGCCTCCCAGCAGTGGGCGTTTGTCTAATCCAGGTGCTATGTGGCACGGATCCGGGCACAGAATTGTGCTAATGTCTAACACAGAGTGTAGCTGACTAGAAACCAAGCCTAACCCATCTGACTACCTCCTTGGGGGGACAGACCCTTTACCTGCTGTGACTCAGAGCGGTGCCGGTTTACATCGGCTGAGGATCTGTCCCTCATGTGCTACCCGCAGTTATCCCGGTAAAGCAGCCATCAAACTCCCCTCTAGCTGTGCTGGCCGCACTGAGTGAGATGTATAAAGGAAAACAAACAATATGAATGGCACAAAGTCCAACAGGCTTTTAAAGCTTTTTTTCCTGGTAAACAGTTTACATCATTGCTTATAGATTTAAGAAGGGAGGGTGTTAAATGATGGGTCGCAGTCCTGCTATTACTGAAATCCAATGACCATTCTGACTGTAGTGGGAGCGTGGGATAGAATGGAGCGTGTCATTTTTCTGGCAGTGCCCCTTTAAGAAAATCAAACTACAGGTTGAACCTCTCCGGTCTGTGACTCTCTGGGCCAGACCAGAGATGTTGCAGGACCAGAGAGCCCCAGTGGTGGGGCTGACAGCAGAGCCAGCCCAGGGGCAGAGGGCCAAGGCCTACAGCACAGCCCTGCTGGGGGTGAGGAATCCGCCCAGTGGCTGGGACCAGCAGCCCAGGGAGCCTGGTGTCCAGGACAGGAGCCAGACCAGTTGGCAGAGGAGCCAAGTGGGGGTTGGGAGTCTGACTATCTGCTGGTGGACCCCAGGAGAGCCAGGAGTCCAGTAGCAGAGGGGCCTGAATTGACCTCCCTATGTCCATCAAAATCCCTCGTTTGGGACCGTCCGGTCCTGAGACTGCAGGGCCAGGGAGGTCCAATCTGTAGACACATTCTGTCTGATCCTTGAAATCTTCCAAGAGCAGAACTTAGAGCTTTCACCCCGCTTCCAAGATTAGGGCCCAGGTGGCGTGAGATGGTGAGTTTTGCAAGGATGTTGGAGGCAAACTATTGCCTGAAAGTCCAAAAAAAGCTATGGAGGTTGTAGTAGTGATCCAACTTGCAATCCTTGGGGGAGGGAATATTTTTCACAGCTGTTGATTTGTAAGAAATCAGTCAGTTTGTGTGCTTCATATACTTAATTGCTTTCTATGAAGAGCACAGTGATTTTAATCATTGTTTTAGATGTTGATATACATTGTGGAGCAAATTAAATAAATGTCAGCTGCATTTCCAAGGAGCTTGCAAACATTTACCCACAGAGCCATGCTCAGTTGGAGCCTTCAGAAATCTGAGCACTTTTGAGAGTTTGACTACAGTTTTGCTAGTTGGCAGAATAAATGATATGTTCTTAGTACTGCTTTTCTAACGCACTGCAGTATTACCAGTCTATCCAGGGTGGAAAGGGCTGTCTTTCTGTAAAGAAATGGAATCACACAGTAGCAAACAAACGTGTACTCCTTCTCCTTAGCTATAGAGTTGCTATGCATTGTTAGCAGCCTCTGCATGTCACCCCAGCTGTGATGGTGTAAAATGATTTCTGCAAACTATATATTTTGAAAAATGTTCTGGGATGAAAGGCCCATATAAATAGACTTGGCAGAATTCATTTTTTATGGACAATATCAGTTTTTAAGAACTCTGATCTATTTAAATCTTCACAACTATGGGAAACACTGGGGTGGGGGAGGGCCAGACATTATTGACTGTAGACATTGAGATGGGAAAAAGTTAAAGCTTTAGAACTAAAACCCACATTGTTGACATCGTATTAGCAGAGTGAGTCTGGGGTGGTGATTACCCTAACAGCAGCCATGTGGAGGAGTCTCCGCCATGCCTGAGTGAGGCTGACCTGCAGGCAAGAATGTTAAACTAATCTGCCCGTGTTTGTTTAGCAAGGAAGGAAATTTGTCTCCAGATCAAGGCTCTTTGGGCCCATTGATCTCCAGTGAGTCTGATGGCAGGAGTTGGCCCTGTACGATGCTGCATCCTCTCCTTCCACTCCGCCCCCCGATCAGATCTGGCGCAAGGGAATGTTAGGAATCTTGGAAGACTCCCGGTGAGCTTTGGCTGGGCAGCGGGTCCGAGTAGAAGGCGTGCTCAGGTGATAAGAGAGCAGCTGCTTTCTTGGGCCAAACCAGTCGGACTCGGTGCCCTGCCTCAGCTTATTCCGAAGAGGGGCACAGAGGAAAACTTGGGAGTTCTGACGCCTGCAGTGTTTGTGTCTCTCCCGTTCCCTTCCCTCAGTGTGGTTCTCCCAGAATGGTGCAAATTAGGGACGCAAAAATGTGTTTAAAAATGTGACTGCTAAAAATCCTGGTGCTTACGGGCTCTGCAGTATAAAGCTTAAATAAGCTCAGTAAGGTTTATACTGCAGAGCCTGTCGTGAAGGCTGGGGAGCAGGAGCCAGGCTGGGCCCATGCAGCCGTGGCAGGCCCCCTGGGGCTGAGACCTCCCCACCCAACCTGGGCAGGGGGCTCTGCTCCATCTCCCAACAGCCCCTGGTTCAAATGGCCCTGCTCTTGCAGAGGTCTGAACCACAGGGCTTGCTAAGGGGCTGTTGGCCTCTCTGCGAAGCTTTGGGAGCAGGACCGAGGCTGCAGCTAACGGCTCTGAGCCCACTGACGCAGCGTTGGTGGCCAGAGCTACATCCCCACCCATGAGGCCCCTGAGTCCCAGCACAGAGGGCCACAGCCTCCCCTCTGCCAGGCCAGCTCTGCATGGCGTTGGCCCTGCCCCAAGGTGGCCTACACAGCTGAACGTGTAACTTGCCTGGGCCCTCTGGAGCACTGGCTGCAACTGAGACCTGCCTGGGCCGGCCGCAGCTGGAAGGGCAGATGGCAGCTGCTCCTGCCCTGCCTCAGGCGGTTCTGAGAGGAAGCTCGCGCTTTCTGTGCGTGGGGCGGGGGGGAGGTCATGGCTCTGGCCGGAGGGTCGCCACGCCCATCATGGCTGATGACTCGGCTGCTCTTTCCGTCCCCAGGGAGCCGTTCTTGCCGCAGGGGGCCCGACGAGGCCCCTGGCTCGGGGGTGCCTGGGCCTCTTTCCTGCGGGGCTGCGTTGGCCGCCGGACTGACCGAGCTGTGTTTGTCCCCGCAGATCTGTAACTGGTTCATCAACGCCCGCCGGCGGGTCCTCCCCGACATGCTGCGCAAGGACGGCAAGGACCCCAACCAGTTCACCATCTCCCGCCGAGGGGGCAAGACCACAGACGTGGCCCTGCCTCGGGGGGCTGCCATGGGCGCTGGGGTGCTGGTGATGCCTCCTGTGGCTTCCGCGACGGCTGCTGGCAGCACCCCCCCCAAAGTGCTGGCAGTGCCTGTGAGCCCCCAGGTGATCTGTCACCCTGCGCAGCCACTGGCCAGCAGCCTGACAGCGGGGAGCACCCCCGGGACCCAGCAGGAGAAGCCCCCTGTTCCCCGGATGGAGCCAGACCCCCACCCCAAGCCTCCACTGAGCACAACGAGCAGCACCATGGCGCTACTGGCCAGGACGGACGCAGCCAGCCCCACCAACGGACTCTTTAACACCCCACCCCCCACGCCGCCCGAGCTCTTCGGCGAGGACTTCAGCAGCTTCCAGCTGCTGGTAGAAGTGGCACTGCAGAAGGCGGCCGAACTGGAATCGCAGCGGCAGAATGGGCAGCTACCCCCCTTATGGCACCCAGAGCCCCAGGCGGCCCCAGGCTCCAAGTAACCTGCCCTGTGCCAGTTCCAGCTGGGTCTGCTTGCCCTTCCCATCTCCCAGGGCTCTTGTCGGGTTTGGCCTCTGCCAGCCAAAGGGTTGGGTTGGTTTGGTTTTGGTTTTATTTTTTCTTCCTCAGCAGTAAGACCCTCTCCCCAGGCGTTCTCCAGAGATGCAGCCTGCTCCCCGCAAGAGCCTGACCCCTTTCGGGCCTCCACAGAGCAGCCCTGGTGGACTGGAGCATCTTCACCTTCTCATTGTCCCCACCTTCGGAAGCTGTCAAATGTGCCCCACGCCTCTGGTTCCACCCTGGGTTTCTGACATCATGCTGGTGACACCACCTCTGTGGCAGGGCCCAAGGGAGGTAGCCTGGCTCCTTGGAAGGATCTGATTGGCTGATGTGACGAGAGTTTTTTGGCTGGCTGAGTGTTGCTGCCTAAGACTCTGAAAACCTGCTGACTTTGTGAGACAAAAACAAATGAAGAGGCCAGCAACAACCAAGGGGGGGAAGGTGTGGGGCGGGGACACCTTCCAGATGTTGAGCACTCCAGGAGGAAAAGACTTTCCCCTGAACTTCCCTGGGCCACCTCTTTGTTTCTGCCTTGTATATATTTTGTGGATGGAAGGGTCTGCCTTGAATGGCCCTGGAGAGCCTGTGGAAGGGCAAAGATCAAACTAACTGGAAATCTTAAATCTGTGGCATTTTTTTCCATTGAAGGAAAGAAAACCCCTTAACGTTGTTATTGCCAGTAAAATCTCCGAGGTGCTGTTCAGCCGTCTTAGATGCTGAGAACATTTCTTGTTTGTGACTTTTTCCTTTGACAAATGCTTCCACTGTTT